ATCGGGCAAAATAAATGATGACGAGCGAGGCCGAATGGCCAAGAACGAACTGTGAGTCAGGTTGAAGCGAGTATGAAGATATAAAAAGAAGCAGCCCCCCCTAAGAGCGGCGGGAAAGCGAGTGGGGGAGGGATCCCTCCCAAATGCATAGACGGAACACGGAAGGAAAGAGGGGGGAGCGGAAAAATAAGCGACTAAAACTGTTTTAAGAGACTTACCAGAGTGCAGAAAAACGTTTGGGCGAATATCAGAGACTTTAGCAACTTTTTTGAAAAGTAAACAAATCCAAAAAGATGGCGGGGAAGAAACCGAAGAAAGAGAAGTTGTTGAAATTGAAACTAGGGGCCAGTCCTCGAACGGATGAGGTAACTGAGCTCTCAAAACTTTTGACTGACTCCCTGCGCCCCCTGCTGGATGAGATCACTGGCATTAAACAACAACTGTCAGTAATTGGGCAGAGTGTGGCAGTGCAGCAGATGCAACTGACTCAGTCCTTAAAAGCAACAGAGCAAATGGGAGAGAAGATGAAGGAAATGGACGTCACTACTAAAAAAGTTAAGAAAAAGGTGGAAAAGCTGGAAATGAAGCAAGCTACAGAAAAGTCAAAGCTTTTACAGCTACAAATGGATAAAGCAAATTTGGTCCTACGGTTTCAAGGGGTCCCGAAAATTGAAGGAGAGAATCTGAAGCAACGGCTGAGTGAAGCAATAGCCCCAATGACAGATTTAACAGCGGAATACCTTTGCAGCAAGATGGATGTGGTCTACAGGTCCTATTCATCATACATCAAGAAAAATAATCTGCCTGAGGAAACAGTGGTCAGATTCTTGAAGAGACATGTGAAAGATGCTATTTTGAAAGCAAATTCCGGAACACCCTTGAAAATTGGGGGCAATAATATCAGAATTTTAAAAGACATTCCATTTGATATAAGACAGAAGAGAAAGAACTATAAAGAATTAATCCTTTTCTTACAAACAAAATGGCATCAGTTACAGGTGGTTAACCCCAGAAGGTGTCATTTTCAAGATTAACGATAAAAAAGAAAAGATTGACTCTGTTTTTAAAGCACGTGAATTTCTGCGGACACAGCTTGGGGAACCAGAAGAGGGCAAGGAGGAGGAAAAAGAAAGCAAATCTGATGGCAAGTTGGGCTTGGGGTCTTCGGACGAGGACTCCCCCTCTGAAAAGGGGGAGGCTGCCCCCAAAAGCCCTTATAAACTGAGGATTAGAAAAGATAAGAATAAATAAGGGCTGAAGGACTCTGATTTGTGCCTGAAAAAATGTGGAAATAACTTGGGGATGCTCTGGGAATTTCTTTAAACAGTTCAAGGGATGGTTAAACGATAATTAATCTAGCATAACCGACTAACTTCATTGTATTATTAGTAACTTTTTGAAAATAACATGG